ATAAACTTCCTTCTGATTTAGGGGAGTCTGAGACTGTAGAAGTCTTCAAAATTGGTTTAGACGATTGTTAGTCTATCCATTTTCCAGAGATATTGTAGTTGCACTGGAATAGGTAGTGTATTTTGATGCTAACACATATAACTGCAAAGATTGCTCTTGTTCTTGCTTCATTCCTTTGCAGAAGCAAGAAGAGACAATCCAACGTCGAAGTACCAAGGGCCGCTTCACTTACCGGCGCAAGAACTGGACGCTGGTTAGGCGGAAGCCCCTATCGTCCGTTTGACCTGACCTGACCTGTACCTGGAGTAGCATTCGACTTACTCGCGTTGAAGTTCTTAGATTTTTAGCTAGTGCGTGCCGTTTATTATACTATGGAATTCATGTAAAGTGGGTGCATGCCGTGGAGACAGTAGATGTAGTCTACCATCCAGTACCACCCTACAAACTCACCAAAATATTTAGATGGTTACCATCTGTTGAAAAACGGACTTATATAATTTATTATTTGTGTGCAGAATGAGTGTTTACATTTAGCCTCCAAGTGCGTTCTGTTGTAAACTAATGGCCTCAAATTCCACTGTCATCGAAATATTATGCGTACCTGTTGTTGCAAGACAGCGCCATGTGCCAAACCTGAAGCGCCGGTACTGAGCGTCAGTGGGTCTGAGAAGTAGTAGTGGGGTATTGGAGATATGTTGGCGATGGTTTGCTACAAAATCTTGAACGCTTTCTGTGTTGCGGCAGGGAATTTGAGTTTCCCTACCTCACCTCAAGGAAGGTCCGTGAGGGGCTACATAAACGACGCAAAATTAAGTTGCAATGGTAAAATTAAACCAAAGCGTCAAAACTCAGCAGCTGCTTGAGAGAGCGGGACTTAATGTAGTGAATAATAGGATTAGTTTCATCCTCAGTGACACGACACCTGCAAGAATTTTAGGTGACCGCGACGGTTGAACTCTAAAACCTGATTTCAAGACGCGAAGCTGGCATGCAACTAGCCGACTGCTTTCGTCATCAATAGGGTTTTTATATGGAATCGGATTGCTGATGGAATCAGTTCATCATCGGTTGCACGAATTCCCATGTAGCAGGCGTGAACGATGATGTAACTGGTCGGTTTTGCAGACAGCCAAATACTGGTTACCGCGAGTACGAGAAGACGTGGACAAAAATGTGATCGTCAACCAGACATGTATCGCACAGTTAGATTAAAAGGCAGAGGCTAAAACAAGCTACCTATCAATACAGCCATTTTTACCATCACCCTACACCGTTCTGACATGTCTTGCCTTCGGTTTCTTCTGGTTGGGTTCGTCGCAGCACCAGGCATGGACCAGTGTCATGACAGCCTTACAACAAAGATAGATAATATGGATGAAAAACCGGTTCCAATTGCAAACGAACTAGCACCTTACTGCGTTGAAAGTCACTCTTTGAAATAAACAGTCAAACAGTATCCGTACGTGGCAAGTTTACTTTACTTGAGACGCTAGCAAACAGGATGCCGTCTAGTCACACATGAGCTTAATTTAGGCTGCGGTAAAATTGGACGATGAAGTGTTGAAAAAACTGTGCGCATGCTTAACATCAAAAGCACGCACATAGAACTAAACAGGACGGCAAAGGTCGTCAGAACAGTTTTAGCACGTGCTGCCTCTTCTATCGGGAAGAACTTTTCTGCGAGTTCCAGTTCCAATTCACCTTAGACTGTCTAACTTGCCAGACTGTCTGCGTGATCCACCATGTGAGATCGGATAGCAATCAGGTTTAACAACGGTGTTCAAGGCATGATAAACGCCTTAATGACGCTAATCCCTAATGACTTACATCGAACCATGTAAAAGTTTGACCTCCGTAAACCGTTGAATGGCCTGATAATACCGAGCTAAAGCATGTAGTCGGATTTAACTGGTGTGCGGCAAATCCTATACTTACTTCATCCAGTGGTTTGCTATTTGTGACAGACGGAAGCACTGTAGCTTGTCGTAACAATCACGCATTTTCGGAAAGCGACTCATACAGTCTTAAAGTGCTTCGCTATATCTGGAAACGGAAATGATGATTTAGGCGTTGAAGAGAATGCTTGTAACCCCATTTTATTATGATCACCTTGAAGACTGCGCCTACCCGGATCAACGGGCAATCCAAAGCCGAAGTGGAAATCGCTACTGGTAATTGCAAGGGATACAGATGCAGCTGCAATAACCTACTAAAAATCCCGGTGAAGATTTAGCTTTACTTTCACTATGTACCAACTGAGTGAAGCATTAAGCGAACCGTTAAGCGCAGGCCGTCTGTGCCTGGGTCTTGAATGCCAGCCTTTTACGCTGCCATGGATGATGCGTATTTCTACCTTCAAGTCAATGAAAAAAGTGTTTCAGGAGTGTATATGGTTAACTTAGAACCGCCAGTCTTTATCCACTCTGCCCGGAGTGTGGGCCACCTTCCAACACCCGTAAACTAGCTCCCATGCTAAACTGAATGACGTTTAGCGCAAGGACGTTAACAACGCCTCCGTTGTCACCGTAAAGACAATGATACCAAGGGAATTTGATCGCAGCAAAGTGTGGAAGGACTGCGTCTGCGTGTCGACATGGACCTGTACTGGGGAAGACTTGACTTAACTGAACGACGATGGAAGAAAACCAACCGCGATTGCATTCAAGTCTCGTTACTGTCTGTCTATGCGAATGCATCGTGTCTAACTGATGGTAAAGTGCAGCAATAATTTCGTCGCTAGAGTCTACTTAGGTAGACACCCTTCCAGAGGTGTTATGGTCGTTTGAAAAGTACCGGAAAGGTTGAGAAGATCGTTCAAGTGCAGCGTCTATAGTCATGGCTAACATTTTATATGTAGACGTTGATGAAGGCGTAAAAACCATGACTCTTTAAAGCAGGCACCTACATGTACGAAGGGCCTGCAGTTTATTGAATCGCTGAAAGCAAACCTGAGATTTTGTGCCCACTTATTTGGGCGTCATTCATGGGTTGTTGCATCAGGCACTGGGCTGCGATTCACTTAGTATCGGGTAACTTACTTCTTCCTATTTACGCGCCTTCGGAGGTTGAAGAGGGTTAGCTCCGAGCATCTTCACCACTGGTTGAGGGAGGCATGAGACGAGCCGGTGGTAATTCGCCTGGTCGGTAGAGGCAACCCAGCTTTCTACATATATATCTGATATAAAAAAGAAATTACTGGCGTTGTGGGCCAAAAGCTCAGGAACCGCCGGGTTTACATCACGGTGAAACATTGCGAACACTAAGCGTGAAAACCATAAAAATGATGCGTTCAACATTTGACTGTGGAGTGAGATAACATACGAAAATGAAGAAAGTCACCAAAATAGATTCAACGCAAATAATCCAAAATTTGAGTGTAGCGATCGGGCTATCAATTGATAGGAGTAGTCAATATCCTTCAGGGAGGATGAGTGAAATTGGGCGCGGCTAGCAGAGGGCAGGAGGGCCGCATATAGCAGATTGTATTTGCTGTGGGCTACAGCCAGCTAAAGACGAATGACGGAGGTAAGAGCAAACGATAGTTTCGTAACTCACTGAGTAGAAATGCTGTAAGCTAGATGCAGGTAAGCAGGGTCCGTAAGAGTAGAGAGTAGCAAAACGAAATTGACTATTGTAAACGCCATCAGTAATACCATTGAACGTACAAAATAAGGAGTAGCTTTTCGGGCAGTTAAGGCCGGATTTGCGAACCTACATTGAGACAAAGTAATCGTGTTATTCTTCCCCGAATGTTTGGGATGCAGTATTATTAGGGTGTAACTGTAGCTACCTTGTACTTCAAGTGGATAACACAGCCAAATGTTTCTACTGACTGTTAGCTTCTATATTTTCTATGTCATCTATTCACGTGCTCCTTATTATACTACCAATATTCCTTCTGTTCTGCCGTCTGAGCAGCGGTCGTTTTTCGATTAAAACTGGTTAGTATTCCTGAATAGTAAGAGTGTGCCCAGGACAAGCGTTTCAGCACACTAATTTTCTGATCCGCTAGTATTTGTAACGATCTCCGCGAGTTCAGCTTGAAATGCTTGACTGAAATAAGTTTATTTGCAACAAGTAGGGCTGGTCGGGACAGTGTTATTTAAATTGAACTATTCTAGGAAGTTGCTAGAAAAATTTTCTAAGTTGCCTTCCGATAATCCTGTATACTGGTTCGTCTCAGAAACCTATCCGAGGCCGAATTAACCCTTACAAGAGGTGTTAAAAACGGTAGATTACTGTCCACTAATTCTCAAAGATGTAGCCAACAGAAATGGCTACTACAACGTCACTTTGTCCATGAAATATTGTTGAAACTACGAAAAAGTCGCAAGGACAATTTCTTTGCCTTTATCGCTGGTTATTCTGATCCGCAACGGTGTGCAAATGAAATCGAACTGCGGCTGGATGTTTCAAAACAGTGTATTTATCCCAGATTCTAAGCCGGCGCAACCGCCATTCCTTAATTAGTGATATTCGAATTTGTACCTCACTTTATAATGGGCGGATCTGACTGCAGGCTATACCGATATGTATTTTTGCACCAATTATGTGACCTAATGAGGTAGAAATAATGAAACAGTCGATTCCTTGATTTGTCACCATACAGCAAATATAGGAGAACAAACAATCACTCTACTAGAAATAGGATGGAAAGTAAATTTGCAGGCAATGCATATATTACACGTTAGTGCCTTGGTATCTGAAGTTTGCTCACTCATTGATGTCAAAGTTAGCTCGATTTGCTCAGGGTAGACTGAAAGTGCTGGTTCTACAAACGTTCTGCCAAGCCGCACAAGAGGTAGCACAGTTAAGCAAACAGTTGCGCAACAGATAAGAACAGGGAGTTCTTCCCCTTTGCTAATTTAAATAGCAGTAAAAGGAATGATGTTCTAAACGGTCGGCATTTTGCGTGATTTAGCTAGCAGATGCAAGGTAGATTAGCTGCATTCGGTTCATCTACCACTATTTGGTAACGCCTGGGGTACTAGTCGGGAAAAATGACACGGAAGAGACGTGTCAATTACGGGACAGTAGCGAAGTTGGAAGCAACGGAACCAAATGTGTATTGCACAATCTATAAGAGTAGGAAACAAATCAACCAGACCAAGAACGGTATAGTACGAGACTCGGAAATGCAGTTTGTGAACACAAAATTACCGACTGGAAAACAAATGGACGTTGTTTAGGTTAAATGACAGTAAAATCCGAAGATATAAAATACGGAAAGATGGTGTTTTCAGATGCAATACATGGGTTTCACCCTAGAAGACTGAAGGATGAGAGCCTGCAATGGAGCTATCAGCGGCGGAAACTGGTGGTGAGGATAGGTGAGATTAGTGGCAAGGGTTAGAACACGCGTTTCCAAATTGGGGTGTGTATCGAACTCCTGGCTTCTGTTATTTATTACCTTGATGATAACGTGGTTCAGACTGCATTACCGGTGGGCCGTCGGGGTGGGCTTGTCGGACTGCAAAATAACAAGGTAGTGTAGCAAAAGGCTGACAAGGCATTTCCTCCGTTGCAGACTTAAACTTGCGCATGAGAAGTGTTACTTCCCCCACCGCACTCCAGGCTACGGTCCTCGTCCTACGAATAAATCAGGGCGCCCTCGTTGATAACTCGTACGAAAACGTTTGGCGACTAATCGGTTCATAGTCTCCCGCGATCGAATGCGAATGGTTGTCCATTGGGTCAGGAAGAGATCTTAAGCCGGTTGGCGAGTCACTGAAGGCTTGTATAGGCAGTTCCGGTGGTTGCTTTCCTGGGAGATAGAAATCAGCGGAGGTGGGCAACAGAAGGGAAGGGGCTAGACGCGGAAGTGGAAAAATGAAATGTAAGGTAATAGCAAATACGCTTTTTGTTTTCTTTTCTTAAAAGGTTTTGTATTTGACTAAATCATGGGGAGTGCTAATCCTCAGCAACCCGAAAAATTCCATTTATTAGAATGGATCAAGGTATGCAGAATCTGAGTAAAGAATTCTTTTCGGTAATTCTCAACGGACTCAAATATTACATGATGAGGAGAAAGTGCTAAATGTGCCGGATTGGGCTGCGTATTGAACAGAATGTTTAATTTCAAGGGGACAAATCAATAAATCACGAGGTCATTGGAAGTGGAAAGTATGTTATAGCGCGTAGATCGTGCGCTATAAA